AAAAGGAAACCTACCTATACCTCGTTTTGGGGTAGCATCAATTTTTTTAAATCCCCAGAATTCACGAGACATTTTTCTCTCTGAATTTTAAAGGGCTTCTCTGACTCTACAGGAAAGGTTCTGAAAAGTTACCCACCTTTGGCGATGAAAGGTAAACCTCGAAGGAAGAATGGCCCCTTTTTACATTCCCTTTTAAATACGGAGCAAGAAGTAGGGGAGAGTAGGTTTCCCAGACCACCTGGAACCTTTTAGACCAATGTAAAAACGGATGGTAAAAAAAGTGTTAAACGGCCCCCAAAATCTGAAAGTATGCAGGAAGGGTTTTCTTTAAAATTGGGGAACGCTTATGGAAATTAAAACTAAAAAGTGATCCTGTCTCGAAAATGGTAGATACATTAACCCATTAAAACTGTTCCCTGAACAAAGGGTTTGGGTCTTACGTCTTTAAAAATCTTCCAACATTTTGGCCCTTTCTTGGACAGGGACGTTACCCCCTTAAACCAACAAATGAAAAACGGAATTAAAGGGGCTTTGTTTTCTTAAGGTTTGATGAATCCTTGCCCTTAGGGTTCGACCCCTTTAGGTCTTTATAGGAAATTGTGACCTCAGCAAAAAGGGGTCAGCAGCCTCAGCAACTTCCTCAGCTTAATCAAGTTTTTTCTTGATGATGTTGAATCTGAGGGGGAAGAGCTGTCAGGAAAGGGCGCACCGAAGTCTGTAAAAGATTCAAACGGATCAATTCTTGAACTTTTCCAAAAGTCAAACAAACGAAAAGGGTTTACCGAACCGAAAGTCGGGCCAGGCGTAAGGTGGAAACCCTAAAATTTTCCCCTGTAAGAATTAGGGTTTTTTGATAGTTTTAAGGTTTTGCCTTCTTCAGGGGTTTAAAATTTTATAATATCCTGCGAAAAGTTCATATATTCAAGGCTGTACCCAAAAAAAAATTTCCAACCTGGGAGCCCAGGGGTCACAGCCATTACAAGGGGAGCATATTTTCAAAACCCGTAATATGAAGTTTTTGTTTTCCCCCCCTGTGAAGGGAGGTAAAATTTGGTGTTGGGAAAAAAGTCACGACTGCACTTGTTTTCCCTTTCTCCTTTTCCCCTTTAAATTTTTGTTTGGGGGAGAGACTTTTTTTCTCTAATTTAACAATTTTCGACTCGCAATCCTTTTTCCCCTCTATTAAAAACAATTCTCTGCTTTTTCCTCACGTTCTCTACCTTTTCCCCCCCAAATTCTTATCCTTTGCTCTTTTCCCCAAGTTCCTTTTTTTAGCCGTTCCCCCCGTTCTCTAGCTCTTTCTTACGATCAAGTTATCCGCTCCTTTTTTTTCTTCCTTTCTCTTTAAAAAGTTTCTTGGATTTCTTCTA